TCAATAAAAGTAACAAACCAACAGCGTTAGAGAGTGTTTTTGTTTTGGCTGGACCCCAAATATCGCTATGGATGAGTGTAAAAGGAGCGGTGGGCTTGTAAGATTGTTTTGAATAAGTGCTTCTTGTTTGCTTAGCTAACTGACAAGTATCATAGCTGACAGAAACAGTGTTTTCTGTATTGATTAGATGTGGAAACAAATACTTCATATAGTTAAGGCTAGGGTGGCCTAACCTATGGTGCCACAATAAGATATCTTTACTTTGTGTGTGGTGGCTTGCCATGGCTAGTCTTGTTTCCTTATTATGCATGTTGAAATAGTATAGTCCATTCCACTTTTTAGCTTTGCCAATCATCCTCCCCGAAGCTAGATCCTAAAAAATACAGCCAAAGTCATCAAAAAGGACTTGACAAACTTGATTTTTGGTTAGTTTGCTTACTGAAATGAGGTTACAGGCAAGTTCAGGTACAAATAACACATTATGTATGGTTAGGTATTCAGATAACTTAACTACTCCAAGACCACACACACGTGCACTAATACCATTTGCTACCCTAACTTTTAGGTTTTCATGACAATGCTTGATAGTTGTAAATAAGGATTTGTTACCAGTCATATGATCTAAGGCTCCAGAATCAACAATCCATACATCATCACTAGTCACCATAGCATTCAGGGCAATTATAGTTACCTGATTTTACTAGGTTGACATTGGGAGTGCTAAGTTGCTTGTCTAGAATTTTTCTCAGCAATCGTACCTCTTCTGGGCTTAGCTTTTCTTCTTCCTCCTCCTTCTTTTCAGCATGATAGCTTTTCCTTTTTGTTCTTGATTTATTGTTCAGATTTGGTGGCTTCCCATGTAATTTCCAACAAATCTCTCTTGTGTGACCCCTCTTACTGCAGTGATCACACCATTTTTCATTTTTCCTTTTTGGTTCTATTGTATTTGTGCCCCTAACTGCCAATGCTGACACCTCATTCTATGTTGCTGAAATCTGTGTGAGTTGTTTTCTACTTTCTTCACATTTCACCATATTAAAGCTCTCAAAAAGTGATGGCAATGGTTTTAAATCCATGATCCTGTCTCTAACATCCTCAAAGGTGTCATTGAGTCCCAATAAGAACTCATAAGTTCTTTCTGTTTCAATAAGTTTTCTAAAGTACTGAGCATCATCCACACAGTTCCATGAGTAAATTTCAAACAGATCCAATTGTTGCCCAATTCTCATTAAGGCACTATAGTATTGGGTTATAGTCATTGTACCTTGCTTGAGTTCCCGAAGCTGTTTCTTAAGGTGTTACAATGCGGCTGTATTATCTATTGAGGAGTAGGTCCGTTTGGTGGTGTCCCATATCTCTTTTGCTGTTTGTGCGAGCAGGTACCCCTCACTAACCTCAAGAGTCATTGAATTGCATGACCAACTCATGACCTGGTTGTTTTTTGCGAACCAAGCGTCAAATTAGGGTCACTGGGCAGGGGCTGTGGAGCTTGGCCATTGATGTATTTCTCCTTGCGTCTGCCTCGAAGGTACATCAGAATGCTCTGTGACCACTAGAGATAGTTACTCCCATTTAGTTTGTGCGTTGTGACCAGTTGTGGACTTTCGGTCATTGAGGTGATCAGAGGTGACAAAATCGAGCTACTGGAGCTTTGGGTATTTCCAAAATTTGACGCGTTGCAGGGAGTTGATGTGGTCAACTCGCTTGCAGTGGTTGAACTAGCCATTAGGGCTGTTGAGTTCAGCCCTCTGTTTGTTGGGTTCTGCTGTAGAGACCTAAACAGAGGTGGGAATTGATCGCTGTTCATTTTCCTCTTTTCTGCAGCTCTGATACCATATTGAAAAGGGAAAATGTATTTTGAATTCTGTGTGTATTTCTGAATGTAGAAGTGTACATATATAGGACTTAGATTCCCATTTTCAAAATAGCTAGAAATCTGATCCCATTAAATATGATTGATTACATTTGATCTGCCTCACTTATTATCTGAGATTCTAGGTACTAGAAAAGGAAGGGTAGGATATATGGGGATATGATTGCCACGGCTAGTAGAGGTCTTTGATTCTAACAGTCACGATTGAATTGGCCTACATCAGAACCAAAAGTCAAGTAGCAGATTTATTTACTAAACCGTTACCAAGGGACACGTTTGAAGGACTAAAGAGCAAGCTGGGAATGGTCAACATTTACTCTCCAGCTTGAGGGGGAGTATTGGAAGACAAGGCCCAAGGCCCAAGCCCAATAAACTTAGTTTTACTTATTAAGTAATTTTAGTTTACTTATGTATCTTTCTATTTAGATCGGATAGTTACTGTTAGGACAAATAGCATGATCTGTAAGATATATCTTTATTTATCCTTTGTTATCTCAGTTCGGTCATATATGTTGTACTCTTTCCCATTCAGTTGAACAGAACATACAGAATTATTCCGTTAAACCTCAAACTCAAAAACAATTCTGTTACAATGGATGTCACCTTTGATGAAACTCAAGCCTATTACCCCAAAACACCCATTCAGGGGGAGAGTGAGAAAGAATGGAAGTTTTTCCAACCCACACCTCCTACTCCTATCACACCACCTCAAATTGAGCCTATCTTGATCAATCACCCTCAACCACAACCAAATCAAACCAACCCAGATCTGGACATATTGGAAACAGGTCTAAACAATGATGGTTGAGCCAACAAGGAGCTAGACAGGACTCTGGAAATGGAGAAACAGATCAGAACATCCCATAACAAGTGGAGACAGGCGCTGGAACTGATCAAAACAATAATGAAGTACCCTCTAGAACTGAGCAATACTAGGAATCAACCTCGACTACAGGTCTTGATGATCTTGCATGGCCAATTGCATTGAAAAAAGGGGAAAGATCCTGCACTAGACATCCTATAAGCAATTTTGTGACATATAAACATCTGTTACCATCTATGCGTAGTTTGGTAACTCGTTTAGTAGATGAACATATTCCTACCATGTTTCATGAAGCCATATCTGATTCGAACTAGAGAAGGGCTATTGAAGAGAAGCTAAATGCCCTAAGAAAGAACCAGACTTGGAAAATCACAAAACCACCAACAGGAAAGAAAATAGTTAGGTGCCAATAGGTGTTTACAAAGAAATACAATCCTAATGGAACAAGAAACAAGTACAAAGCGAGGTTAGTGGCAAAAGGATACTCTCAAACCTTTGGCATTGACTATCAAGAGACATTTGCTCCTGGGACAAAGTTGAACACAATCTGAATACTCCTATCACTAGTAGCAAACTTAGATTGGCCACTGGATCAACTTGATGTAAAGAATGCCTTTCTAAATACAGATCTAGAAGAGGAGGTATATATGGATGTGCCTCAAGGATTGACGGAGTAGCATGTAAGCTCTACAAATCACTCTACGGCCTAAAACAGTCACCCGAGCATGGTTTGAGAGATTCACAAGAGCAGCGAAGAGTGTGGTATTCATTCAATGCCAGGCAGATCACACATTATTTGTTAAACACTTAGGAGGTAAAGTGGCTATCCTCATTGTTTATGTTGATGACATCATACTGACTGGAAATAACATTGATAAAATAACCAAACTCAAGAGGTCCTTGGAAAACGAATTTGAAATAAAAGACCTAGGAAGACTTAGATACTTCTTGGGGATGAAGGTAGCAAGATCCTGAGAAAGAATCTTTGTGTCACAGACAAAGTATACACTCGACCTGTTAAAAGAAATAGGAATGCTGGGAGCAAAGCCAGCAGAAACCCCTATGGAACCAGCCTACAAACTTCTTGATACAGAGGAAGAAAGAAGAAAAAGAAGCCAAAGAATGAAACAGTACCAGTTGATATGGAAAGGTACAAGAAGCTAGTTGGTAAACTTCTATACCTTTCTCACACATGCCCTGGTATAAGCTATGCAGTTGGGGTAGTAAGTAGATTCACCAATGAGCCACTTGAAGAACACATGAATGTAGTCTACAGGATTCTACATTACTTGAAAATGACACTAGGGGACTCTGCTTTGCAAAAGAAAAGTCAAGAGAAATTATGGTGTATACTGATGTAGATCATGGGGGGTTCCTACCTGATAAAAGATCTACTTCAGGCTACTACACAATAGTATAAGGAAATCTTGTTACATGAAGAAGCAAGAAGCAAACTGTAGTATCTTGAAGCAGTGTGGAAGCAGAACTCTGAGCTTTAGCTCATGGGGTTTGTGAAGGATTATGGATAATAAGAGTGCTAAGGGAATTAAGATTTGCATCAAATACACCTATCAGACTAAGGTGTGACAGTATGTCTACAATTGTTATGGTTAGAAACCCCATCCATCATGAACGCACCAAGCATGTTGATATTGACAAACACTTCATTAAGGAAGAAAAGGATGCAGGAATTACAGAAATAACACATTTTCCTTCACATTGTCAAGTAGGGGGTCTTTTCACTAAAACTCTAGCAAGACCACAGTTTGAAGATCTCAAAAGCAAGCTGGGAATGATAGATATCTATTCGCTAGTTTGAGGGGGAGTGTTGACGAAGTTAGGGGCTTTAGGCCTATCCAGCTTACATTGAATGATTAAGATTAGCTAACGCCAAATCCCTAAGATTATGGCAGATTTGATTTCTTTTATTTTTTTTTTTTTTGAATTCATCCCATTTAATTCTAATTTACCCTAATTATGTAATCTCTTGTGATCCTAGAATCTTCCTATGCTATCTATAAAATATTGTATCCTATCAATAGAATAAATACAGTATTTTGGCATCAAATTGTTCAATAGAGATACCCAATCCGATGTTGTGATCAAATCTGATCTAGGAATATTGAGGATCATATTCAAAACTCCTAAGATCATGGAAATAGGAAAATAAAATCAGACAGTAAATGACAAAATTAATTTGGACTGACTAATTCTAACTTAGTGAACTAGGGCTAGCACATCCCGAAGTCTTGCAACAAAGTCCCCATGAAGAAAAGGCAGTTAGAAGATGCGGCAGAAATTTACCTCTATAAAACCCGCTAAGCAGCTCCACATCCTTGGTATAAATCTTGATTGTTTACTCAAAAGGGCACGGTCATTTTCTCTATCAATGACTAACATAATTACCACCTGCACATGATTGGATTAAAAGAGGTCATCAAAATACATAATCATCGACAGATCCATTACAAGTTGGAATCATAAGATGGCAAACCGGGTCAACTCGTGGATATATCTTTTTTTTGCAAGATTCATTTGAACATTGCTTCCGCCTCCCAGCATCAATAGGAAGCGTTTTCTCTCCACAATGTCCACAGAAACGTGATAAATTATGCCATTCCAGCAGTGCTCTGGCCTGGCCCAACCAAGTAATTTCATATGTTAGTTCACTGTGGGTACTGTTTACTGAAGTCTGAAAGAACAGAATCGAATAAGAAACAATGGAGAGGAAAGTTAGCCCTTGTTTAGAGACATTTCAAAATTAAATAGGGCTTTACATGCCTGTAGTCTAACGTGGCTCAATTTGTAAGGCACAATATGGCTTCCATAAAATGGTTGGTACGTCTCACAAAAAAAAAAAAAAAGGAAAAAATAAAAATGAATGGTAACAGGGATCTTATTACACCCCTTACTCTTCACAACACTAAATTCAATTCCCTCAGGCCTCATCAAATTATAGAGTATGTATCATCCTTTTATCCCAAATTTAAAATTTTTGCTGTAAATCTATCATGGGGTAACATGATTGCTCATAAAGCAGACTTTCACACCTTATTCCATTTCTTCCCATAAATCTGATAATTAATGAATAATCATCATACCTAGATTAAGTTGTTCTTACGAAATTTTCATCCCTTGTCTGTTTTTGAAACGCTTCAGTTTTCATCCGTTTCTTCTACCGTGACCATATTCATATAGTGATTAATTAGTGAAGAAGACCAACAAGAAATATAGAAGACTACCGTGTGGATTAATAACTTGGCTGACTTCATATATCTTCATTCTTCACAAGGCATTTCACTAGTAGCATCGCTTTTTATTTTCTTTTTTTTTTAATTTTAAAAAATAATACGAATCTCTTAATTTTGTTATCAGTGTGCAACAATCATACCCTTACGTTCACTTTAGAACAGCACAGCTCCTAAACAAAAGGAACGGACACAAATGTGTCCATTTGGGTGTCAAACTTTTAGACAAAAGAAAGGCAAATTTGTTTTGCTGCTTCTTCTTTTTGGCCCCACATTCCGCTACCTTTTCCACTCTAATTTCCCTACATAGGATAAACATGATGATGAACTTCTAATTCCCGAGTAACTGGAAATACGGAATACTTCATAACATCGCAATTTACAATCGACGGCTCTTGCCTTGGCTAATATCAGAAAAACATGCAAAACCAAATGGTAACAAGCGCACCCCAAATAAAAAACAAAAAACAAAAAAACAAAAGAAACCCAAAATCTATAACGATCACTTACATGACCAGCAATAGCCAAGTTCCCCATAGCTTGCAGGTCCGCCCAATCAGTGGCCACCATGAGCGTTCGAAGCTCCACAAAACAAAACTGCTTGCTTCTTAATAAAGGCACCAGGCTGCGCTCAGCAGAAACATCGATTGCCCAGTAAACTACGTTGTCGTCAGCGCGCGAACCCAGATATACAAACTGGTCTCCGCTCAGTTGAACACCAGTACTTTCCAAGAGCCTGATGAGATCATCTAAACTGATCCAACCCAGATTCCAAACCGGCGGCGAATCAACGGAAACAGAAATCGAAGAGGCCAAGGGCCTCCCGCAATTGAAAAGCAAAACTTTGAAATTAGAAGAGCATGCAGATTGTTTGTTGTCCGATAGACTGGCTTTAATGGTTTCAAGACCTGCCGTAGGAGAAAACGGATTGCCCGGATTTGAGGATTTGGATGTTAGAGGGCTGCCAGCAAAAACGTGGGACGGTAAGTTGATGGACATGGAGGTAGGGGAAGATTTACGTGTGAGAATTATCTGGTTAAAGATAAGATTTGACGGGAGAGCCTTTTAGCGACAGAAAACGAAGGGAGAGTAGACACAGGGTGAAGGAAGAAGAGTCTGAGCATCCCCTCTTAGCACGCGCAGCGTTTTCTTTCCTCTCTTCTTTTCCCCTCACCCTTTACCTTTATACTATGTTTGGTACTGGTTTTCAGAGGGGTTATCAGGAGAGGGAAGTTGCTACCTTGTTTGGCTGGTGCAATTTTTAAAGAAGGAAAAGAAACAATTTCCCTTTTCATTTGGTCAAGATATTTTTTAAAAAGAGAGGAGCTATTCTCCCTTCCTCTTCCCTTCTAACCTCTCCAATAAAAGTGGGGTTTTTTGAAATAGAGATAAGAGATAATATTTTAATTCTTTATATACCCTTTTAATTTGTTAACTTCTAATCAGTCGTAAACATTTCTATATAAGAGAGTTCTTTTAAACATCTAGCAAGAGGTTATTGAGATAATTGTCTCCAAAATTAGTGAGTATTTGTAAACTTTTTTTTCCTCCTCTTCTTCTAATTCCAAGAAGCCCTCAGTATTTTCTTTCACATTCAAAGTCTTTTCTTTAATTAAAATCTATCACTGACAACTTTTATCTTGATATCCTATAAATGTGTAACTTTGTCTTGTAAATCAAAATTAGTGAATTGCATTATATATATAATTATATCTTAATAAAATAAAAAAAGTGAAAAAATTTATTTAAATTTTATGATGTTAAAATAGTCAATTTTTTATTAGAACAAAATAAGGTATTATTAAAATTGCTCCCTCCCCTCCCCTCCAATTAATCCAAATAGGATATCATTAAAATCCCTCCCTTCCCTCCCCTCCCTCTTGTAGCTACCCTCTCCTTTCCTCCCCTCCCCTTCTCTTGATCAAAATCCCTCCCCTCTCCTTCCCTCCGTCGAGCCAAACACAATGCTAATCAAACAAGCTTAATTCAAGTAACTCAATTTTATCCCACAAAATTTTCTTTTATAGATTGGTATTAAATCATTCACTTGAATGTGAAAAATGAAATCGGCCACTTGGGAGTTATTTTATAATTCCATGATACTACCTTCGGTCCTAATTATAAGAGCCGATTGACTAATTTGAGAAGATTAAGAAAAAAAGTTGAGTTAGTTATTTGTCCTAAATAGATGTTGTCTTTCCTAAAATATCCTTGCTAATCAAGAGTATTGACTAGAACTATAATTATTAGAAGGATTATCTTGAAAAAAATTAAGTAAATATGAGAGACAAAGTGGATTAGGGTCTTATATTTAGGACCAAAATAAAAGTCAAATAGGATGTTATATTAAGGACCGGAGGTAGTATGACACTAGAATTACATAAAATAGGTGATTTACACTGTTTATAACCGTTTTAAAGTATACGATTGGTGGCATTTTTACAAATAGTGGTAGTCTTTTTAAACTTTTTTTTTTTTTAAAAAAAAAAGACATCTTGTCTAAAATATGTTTTTTAGATTAGTTACGGAGCCAAACTGGAAGCCAACTATTCAAAGGAGCCAAACTGAAATAGAAAGTGAATCCAGTCACGGAGCATGAAGCAAGCAAATGGAAAATTCTGTCTTTTTGGACCTCCTTCCTGCCATATGCTACATTGTTAAATGCCATCCACAACATCTCTTAACGGTCCTGTCTACGGTGGCTCATGAATCTTCACGAACAAATCGCTTTTTCCTTTTATTGAAAGCAAGTTGCATTCTCCCTCTTGTGGTTGATATTTACTTGCTTGGCATTGAGGTTATGGTTTTTCTTTCAGCATCTGTTGGTTTATTTTGACGGATAGAAAAGCAAATTTACTTATTATAATATTAAAAAAGAATACTAAGTACTTTTGGATGCAAAAATATTTATTATGATTCAAAATGTTACATCTTGATAATTTTAGAGAAAACATATACGGGAGTCCTTATAATTTTATTTGATTTTGAATTAAATCCTTACAGTTTATTTTCTTTTTATTGGATCCTTAGAGTTTTTTAACTTTAATTATTAGTCCTTTTGCTCACATTCTGTTTGCTACTCCAAACGGCATTTGTTTATATTTAGAAAGGTAACTGCCACGTGGTTGAGCAAAATAGTTTAGTTTCCAATAATTTTCAAGACCAATTTTCTTTCCGACGGCATGTGATGCTGTGCAAGTTCCTTGCCTTTGACAGTATTCCCAGCTGGTTCTTGTGGGAACGACATTAATAGGAACATGAATCTTTTAGCAGTCTTCTTCTCCGAAGACGATTCTGCCGCTGCCGACAAACCCAAGTATTTTTCTTCCCTCCAATCACTCGGTTCCTCCTTCAAAAGAAGTTGGGGCTATCTTCTCTGTGCGGCATTTGGCAGGGAGAAATATTAAAAGCAAGGAAGTTGCGGAGCATGAAATATGCCGCCGGAAAGAAAATCGGTTTCGAAGACTATTGAAAACTAAGCTCTTCTGCTTGACCACGTGGCAGTCACCTCTCACATAAACAAATACCGTTTAGAATGGCAAATAGAATACAAGCAGAAGGACTAATAATTAAAGTGAAAAAATTCTAAGGATCTAATGAAAAGAAAATAAACTGTAAGGACCTAATTCAAAATCAAGTATAAGAACTCCCGTATATGTTTTCCCATAATTTTAACCATGAAAAAAGAGAATATAAAATAGACCAAGGTTCAAGTAGTGTAGTAAACAGAAAGACAGAATAACTTTTGAACTGAAACTTGACTGAAGATCGAACTGTCATTTTCAAAATATCTAGTCAAGATAGAACAGACCGGGCAAGTGTACCAGAAATTTCAAAAAATTCTCAGAAAATCATGAAAAATAAAATGAAGGGTCTAGAGCAGTGTTTGATGCCTGAAAGATGAAAATAGCATGAAAATAGTTTATTTTAAAATTTTCTATAATTTCATAGAATTTTGGCTAATTAAGAGAAGATTGGAAAAATTGAATTATTTAAAATATATAGGGGCCTCAATAATTCAAGAAAAAAAATTAGAAAAATTATTTAAAAGGTTATTATGAATTTTAAAATTATTTTTGGCCTATGGTGATGCAAAGTAGAGCTAGTAGGCTCAACCTGCCAACCCGATAAAAATCAGGTTCATTTTAAAATGGATATTTTGAGCCCGTAACTGCTAAGACCGAACCCGTAGTAGGCTAACCCATTTTTATGTTAAATTTTTCCCTCCATTCAAATATAATTATGTTTACACCTTTGATCCTTCATCTCATTCTCATTATTTAAAATTACCCTAATGTAATATATCTTTCACTTTGTATTATGAATTTTATTTGTGGTAAAATTAGTTAAGCAAAAAGAAGGTGGTTCTACTTATTAAGCTCAACCAAATAATTTCACATTTTCATATCATTCTTCAAATTATATTAACATTGAATGGTGCTCATGGTTGAGCATTTGATAGTAATTTATAACATTATGTTTGTGTTATTGTTGATTTAGCTTTGTTACATTTTAATTTGGGATATATGTTTAAGCATTTAGGATATGTATCATATATATTTAATATTTTAGGATATTTGGAACTTTGGATTTCATAGTTTATTTATGATAATTTCTATTTGTATATTTGATTTTAGATGTTTAAATATTGGAATATATTTTATTAAACGAAAACAAAAGGCATAAAAAAAGTGGTGAGTTGGTCGGCCTAATCCATCAACTCACTTTGGCAGGCTGGGTTGGTAAAATATCAACTCGTCAGAAGTCGGTCCTTTTAGGACCGAACCATCAGCCTTTAAACCCACCATAGGCCAACCCCTAACCAGCAAGTTGGCCTATATTACTAAAACAGAAGTTAGCTTTAAAATATTTAAGGGAAAATGACCAAGAAATGACTGTTGAAATTTGAAATGACAAAATGGGCATGCAAATTACTCAAATCACCAAATGGGCCTGAGGTATCAATCTGGAAATTTGGTTTAAAGACTAAAATGCCCTCAATTTTTTTTAGAAAAAACAGAGTCAGAGGGCAGGATATTGTTGAACAGAACTACACTTTGGTTGACAGTTCTCCACTCACCGAAACTGCATAGGCTATAGGGTTCTTCGAAGTCTCACATTGCACTTGGCGAAAGTGCATATGGTTCTCCCAAGTTTGACATTGCCATCATTAAGGATACTGTGAGTGACGAATGTGCATAGCGTCAAGCTTCTTCCTCTTTTTCGTGGGGTTGCAGTGAGAAGCAATAAACCAGTGACAAGCTTCAATCTTTAGAAGGAAGAGGGGTGGCTAGAGAGAGAGATCTCAAGGGAGAGCACCTGTAAGATCGTCGCTGATGGAGGAAGAAGACGATATTTGCTTCTGACCAAGGTAAGCCACCTAAATCTCTCCATCTTCTACTTCTTTAATTGGAGTGGTTTTATTTGGGGAAAACAGTGAATGTTGGTTCTAAAGGGGGGGAAGCAATGGTAAAGGCTTAAAACAAAATCTAAAGGTAGATTAAAACTTGGTGCTTCTGTGTGTAACCATATTACTGAAGTTGTTTCCTTCCTCTAATTCATAAAACTTGATCCATCTTTGACGAGATTTCTCTCTGATTGCTGTGCTACTGTAATATTACAAGGTATAATATATGTGTGTGTTTATGATTGTTACACTACTTTTTAGAAGCCCATAAATTGAGACCACTGTCGCACATGTGCCAGTGGATACTTCCTGTTTTTGTCCCCTTGTTTGGTCTGTGCGTGTAATGGACATTGCACATTTTTAGCATTGTGTATGGAATTGAAATGAGTTCAATTATATAGTTGTGTAGTGTCTTGATATGAAGTGCACTGTATAGTGTTGTTGACAGAAGGCCCTAGTCTCTTTCTCAAGGTGTCAAGCACTAAACCTAAATTCAGAATACGATGGGTTCAGAGACTGTTTAATGAATCTGAATTATATATTAGCATGTTTTGAAAGTGGAAAAAATTTACATATTATATATTACTACTACTTGAAATGTTTTGAAGGTTAAAAGCTGATTCCATACTTGTAAAAGTATTTGTATACGTGTGAGTATGTGGGTCATTGCTTGTGAATTGATGCTTGTGGAATTAATGAGGCATAAATTTGATTTGCCTTTTTTTTAATCTGCTAGTTTAAGGATTGAAGAGCTAGAGATTAAAAA